TTCCTCATAAGATAAGTCCTCTCGGAGTGGAAGCGGTTCATGAGCCAAGACATGAGAGGGGTCCGGGTTGTACTTACGTAGCATGGACACATGGAACATATTGTGGACCTTGGAGAGCTCTGGAGGCAGTGCTAGTCTATAGGCAGCAGTACCAATCCTGTCTAAGATTTTAAAAGGTCCAATAAATTGGGGGTTTAGTTTTTCCCTCCGACCGAACCTACTAATTTCCTTGAAATGAGTGACCTTAAGGAACACCCGATCGCTTTCTCAAACGTTAGATCTCTTCTCCGGGTGTCCGCATAACTCTTATGCCTGCTCTGAGCCGTCTGAATGTTCTTTCTGATTTTAACTATTTTAGACGTGGTCGCCTCTACCAACTCCGGGCTAAATAATCTTGTATCGCCCACTTCCTCCCAACAAATCGATGATCTGCATGGGCGCCCATATAACGTCTCATACGGAGTCATGCCGATACTCGCTTGGTAGCTGTTGTTGTAGGCAAACTCTATCAGGGATAGATGGTCGTCCCAATGACCCTCAGAGTCAAGGACACAAGCTTGGAGCATATCCTCAAGTGTACGAATTGTCCTTTCTGATTGTCCATCAGTCTGAGGATGGAAGGCAGTACTGAGAGATAGTTTATTCCCATGGCTTGCTGAAAGCTACTCTAAAACCGAGAAGTAAACCTGGGGTCCCTGTCGGATACCACTGTCATTGGGACTCCATGCAATCTGACTATTTTCGGATATACATTCTTTTCAACTTGTCCAAGGGATCAGTCATCCTGATGGCCAAGAAGTGGGAAGATTTGGTAAACCGGTCAACAATTACCCAGATGGCATCATGTCCTAAACGTGCCTTGGGTAATCCCGTTACGAAGTCCATGGTGATGTATTCCCGCTTCTACTCCGGGATCGGTAAAGGCTGAAGTAGCCCACCTAGGCACTGATGCTCTGCCTTGACCTGCTGACATACTAAGCATTTGGATACAAAGTCGACTATGTCTCTCTTCATCCCATTCCACCAAAACCGGGGTCGCATGCTTTGGTATATTTTAGTGCTTCTGGGATGCTTGGCAAACTTCGAGCTGTGGGACTCTGTCATGATGTCTCTCTTTAATTCATTGTCGTTTGGGACACACACTCTGTCTTGGAATCGGAGTAACCCATCAGCAGAGACTTGGAATTCCGAGCTCGCTCTCTGTTCTGCGTCATTCTTACGGGCTACTAGGGTGGGGTCGACTGACTGGGCTTCCCTTATTCTTTGTATTAACTCAGGCGGGACAGACAGACAGCCCAAACATGCGACTCTCTTCAGGTCATGAAGCCGAACCTGTTGTG